TGTGAAGTTCCCTACATTGATAATCTTTCATTAGAAAACATATTTCTTATCCTAACAAATCAATCACTTCAGAAATCACATATTACAATGACTGAGGCAGCATCTAAAAATAAGACTTACAAAAGGACTCAGACAAATATTCTGAATGCTAACTAAAATCTGAATGCCGACGTTTCTGACTCTGGTCCAGACAAGATGGCATAGCACTGCTCCTCCCCGCTAAGCACAGCTATAAACCCTGGAAATGGCGAGAGAGACAACCAACAGAGAGCTCTGAAAGGTGCTAGGAAGGCGAACTGGTTTGGGGCCCTAGGACCAGAGAGCACAGCGGCAGGGCACTGTGTCCCACCACCCAACAGAAGGGGAGTCCTTCCCGACCCCGACCTAGCAACAGACGGCAGCCCATATAGGCTCATTCCTTGCCTGTAGAGAATGGGGGTCCCTCTAGTGGACGTGACACCACCTGGCAAGGGGGATCACTGGGAACCCAGCCAAAATGTCTCCAGGGGAAGCACTCTCCTTCCTCACAAGGCCTGAGACTCCTTTTCCCACCAAGAGTTACCTAAGCGGGCGGGTAGGCTGAGCCTGAGGGAGAAACCCAGCTCTAGCGGGTGGACCGGTTCAGGAAGCCTCTGTATCTCTGCAGCCTAAGGCTCTCCTCGCCCACCCAGAGACACTAGGGAGGTGGGGTGGGTGGGAGAACCCGTCGGGGGACACAGGCAGCACTAGCATAAAGCAACAGAAGCCCCTGCGGCACCAGATAATCCAAGCAGACCAAAATAACACTGCAAAGCTACTGAGAATTAAACCGCCACTGAAACCACAGTCCACAAAAGTAGGCCAAGACCCACCTGCTGACACTAAATAGGGTGAAGTCTGCTAAAACAAAAGATTTAAATAGGACTTAGAGTCTCCAAATATAATAGACAAAATGTTTAGGATACTATTAACAACCACCCATCACACCAAAAACCAAGAAAATGACAACTTGAATGAGAAAAGACAATCAACGGATGCCAACATGGAGATGAATCCACAAGGATTTGAAAGCAGCTGTCTTAAAACTGCAGTTAGACTGTCAATTAGAAATTCCCATGGGCCGGCCCCGTGTCTTAGCAGTTAAGTGCGCGCGCTCTGCTACTGGCGGCCCGGGGTTCGGATCCCGGGTGCGCACCGACGCACCGCTTCTCCGGCCATGCTGAGGCTGTGTCCCACATACAGCAACTAGAAGGATGTGCAGCTATGACATACAACTATCTACTGGGGCTTTGGGGGAAAAATAAATAAATAAAATTAAAAAAAAAAAAGAAATCCCTTGAAATAAGTTAAAAAATAGAACATCTCAGCAAAGAAATAGAAGTTATAAAAAGGAACCAAATGGAAATCATAGAACTGAAAAATACAATAACAGAAATTCAAGACTTGCTGGGTAGGTTCAATATTAGAGTGGAGATGACACAGGATAGATTCAGTGAACTTGAAGACAGAACAATCCAGAACTCATCCAGTCTGAAAAAGAGAGAAAATAGACTGGAAAAAAAATCCCACAAACAGAGCCTAGGTACCTGTAGGACAATATCGGAAGATCCAACATTTGAGTCCTGGAAAGAGAGGAGAGTGGGGCTGGGGCCGAAAAAGTATTTGAAGAAATATGGCTGAAAAACTCCCAAATTTGATGAAAGACACAAACTTACAGACCCAAGAAGCTGAGCAAACCCCAAACAAGATAAAGTGCTAACACAGCAATAATGATCTTAAATGTAAATAGTCCAAATAAAAGAGATTAGCAGAGAGGATAAAAAATACAACTCAACTATATGTTACTTTTTGTTTTTGTTTTTGTGAGGAAGATCAGCCCTGAGCTAACATCCGTGCTAATCTTCCTTTTTTTACTGAGGAAGACCAGCTCTTAGCTAACATCTATTGCCAATCCGCCTCCTTTTTTTTCCCCCAAAGCCCCAGTAGATAGTTGTATGTCATAGTCGCACATCCTTCTAGTTGCTGTATGAGAGACGTGGCCTTAGCATGGCCGAAGTGGTGTGTCAGTGCGCGCCCGGGATCCGAACACAGGTCACCAATAGCAGAGCGCGCACACTTAACTGTTAAGTCATGGGGCCGGCCTCAACTATATGTTACTTATAAGAAATTCACTTCCAATTCAACAACATATGTAGGTTGAAAGTAAAAAAATAGGAAAAGATACACCATGCAAACATTAATCAAAAAAAAGAGTGGCTATATCAATATCTGATAAAGTAGACTGCAGAGCACAGAATATTGCTAGAAACCAAGAGTAACATTACCTAATGACAGAAGGATCGACCCACTAGGAAGACATAAAGATCCTAAATGTGTAAACACCAAACAGCAGAGCCTCAAAATGCATGAAAAACTGATAGAGCTGAAAGATGAAACAGACAAATCCAGTTGTAACTGAGGACTTCAACGCCTCCCTTTCAGCACTTGATAAAACAGAGAGAGAATCAGCAAGGATACAGGCCTGAACAATACTACCAATCAACAGGATATAGTTGACATAAATAGAATATTCCACCAAACCACCAAAATACACATTTTTTTAAGCACTATGGAACATTTCCCAGGAGAGACCACATCCTGGGCCATAAAACAACCTCAACAAATTAAAAAGAATTGAAATCATACAGAGTACGTTTTCTGACCCTAATGGAACCAAACTAGAAATCACTAACAGAAACACGTCAGGAAACTAAACAGATGGCCAAAATTGATCTGAGGTTTCATGCACTGCCTACCAAAATCCCAGTAAGGTTTTTTATAGGCATAGACAACACACATAGGCAAAATTTATTTTAAAATTTATATGCAAAGGCACAGGCCCCAGAGTAGTTAAACAACTTGACAGAGAACAAAGTGGGAGGAAGCACTGTATTTGGTAGTAAGGCTTACCACAGAGCTACAGTAATCAAGAGAGTGTGATACTGACAGAGGGGCAGACATAAGGATCAGTGGAACAGAACAGAGGACCCAGAAATAGGCCCACACAAATATGCTCAACTGATATTTGACAAAAGCACAAAACCAGTTCAAGGGAGGAAGAATAACTTGCAACAAATGGTGCCACAGCAATTGGACATCTATAGAAAAAAACGAACTTGACCTAAACCTCACACCTTATATAAAAATAAACTCAAAATGGATCATAGATTTAAATGTAAAATTATACAACTTTTAGAGAAAAACACAGGAGAGAATCTTTGGGACCTAGGCAAAGAGTTAAACTTGATACCAAAAGCATGATCCATAAAAGGAAAATTTGAAGGTGGACTTGATCAAAATTAAAAATTTTGCTCTGTGAAAGCCCATGTAAAGAGAATGAAAAAAGTTACAGACTGGGAGAAAATATTTGCAAACTACATAGCTGAAAAGGGACACTCAAAACTTAATAGTAAAAAAACAAATAATCCAATTAGAAAATGAGTAAAAGGCATAAACAGATATTTGACCAAAGAGGATATAGAGATGGCAAATAAGCACGTGAAAAGATGTTTAACATTAGAGAAATGCAAATTACAACCACAATGAGATATCACTACACGCCTAACAGAATGGCTAAAACAAAAAATAGTGGCAAACCAAATGCTGGCAAGGATGTAGAGAAACTGAATTACTCATACATTGCCACTGGAAGTGTAAAATAGTACAGCCACTCTGGAAAACAGTTTGGCAGGTTCTTATAAAACTAAATATGTATCTATCATTTGACTTAGCAATTACAATGAAAAATTATATTGACACAAAAGTTATCTTGACATATCAACATTCTATGTATAAATGTACATAGCAGCTTTATTTGTAATAGCCAAAAACTAGAATGAGTCTAGATGTCCTTCAACAGGCAAAACAAATTTTGGTACACACATATCATGGAATAGTACTCCACAATAAAAAGCAATGAGTAAAAAGGATGAAATATTGATATACGCAACAACCTAGATGAATCTCCAGGGAATTACGCTGAGTGAAAAAAAGCCAATCCCAAAGGTTACACACTGTACGATTCCATTTACATAATGTTCTTGAAACGACAAAACTGTAGAAATGGAGGACAGATTAATAGTTGCCAGGGATTAAGGATGGGGTGTGGGGAGGACATGAGAGAGGTGGGTGTGGTTATAAAAGGGCAACAAAGGGGATCTTTGCGATGTTAGAACTGTTTAGGACCTTGTAGGATACAGGAACCGACACAGGTGATGAATTGTACAGAACAATACACCATGAGTACAGGTAAAACTGGGAAACCTTAATAAGACTGGTGGATTGTACCAGAGCCAATGTCCTGGCTGTGGACATATACTCCATACATTCTACTACAGTTTTACAAATCTTACCTTTACAGAAAACTGCACAAGGTATAGCAAGAATCTCTATTATTTCTTATAACTGCATGTGAACCTACAATGATTTCAACAAAGTTCAAAAAAAAGAAATCTGAATGCTTACTACATGTGGTTACATGAATAACATCTCTTTTACAAATGAGGGAACTGAAGTTGAGTGGTTGGTAACTGACCTAAGATTATAGAGCTAATAAGTAGAAGGGCTAGGATTAAAAATTCAGGTCTGTACTGCTCCAGAGCTCATGAACTTAATCACAGCTACTCTGGCTAATAACTCAGAATATAATGTAAACGACTTAAGGATCCAATTAGTTGATTAGAGAAGTAAAAGAAGTAAGTGTATCTTTTCAAAAGGTGAGCAAGGTTGTGCTAACATGGTATAAACTAAAAGCTTTTGCTTGACAATGGGATGCTAGGAACTAGGAACTAGGTAAGAGCATAGCATCAAGACTACTGTAAATATAAGGGATTTCATCCTCAGCTTCCTAAAAATAAAGTCCGTTTCAGTCTAATAATTATAAAATTGAATTATAAGATCATTGATAGAAAGCAAACACCAAACAGCACCCATGCCTGCTTGGTAATGTCAGGCTTCAGATTCAAATAAAAATATCATAAGCCAAGTTTCAGCAAAATAATTTTATTTCCTAACACACGGTAAACATATACATCCAATATCCACTTATCTTGCACGTTTATTCACAAATGACTTCCAAATTATAACAACTGCTTTAATATTTACGCATATCCTAAAAGTTATCTTAGTTGAGATATGAAAAATGCTTTTAAGTGGATAACATATATTATTGGAATATTTGTTGAATATATTGGATTGGTCACAGCAGAATATGCTTTAATTAGATGAGTTCCATAAATTTAAAGCTTTGAAAAGCTACTACTTTTGCATCTAATACTTTCCAGATGAATAGGATGCAGTAACGTAAGCCTGTATTCCAGAGAAATTTCCTTAGTTTTTCTGGTGATGGAACCACTTATCCACTGTGTTCAGAGAAAAGAAAAACAAATTAGAATCCCTGTTAAGAATTAAAATACACCCAACATATAACAAAGAATAATATACTTGCTTTAACGTATTCTACTCTGGATTACCTCAAAACAAACCTACGTACATGCAAAGTTTTGCTATGGCAAAAACAGGTAATTTATCAGTGTTTTCTTCTGTGCGTCCTTACTCTTGATACTAATCATACAGACGCGATTCTCACCAAAAGAATCTTACAGAGTGCTGTAACCGGGAGAGAATCATTTTCTGGGTAAAGCAGCCTGTGGCCAGATGGCAACGCAGAGCCCAGCCTGCTCCACTGTCCATGAGGCATTTCCCGGAACCCAGAGGAAAGGGTGGGTCATGGTTTGGAAACTGCTGTGATGGGGGTGGCACTAAAGTTGGTATGTACAGCCCTCTTTCTTCCCACATACACTATGGAACTCTAGAAACGTTTCTTCTCCCCTTCCTTCTCTTTCTCTGTATGGATGTGGTATGAAAGATATATCTAGAGATAGAGAGGTACTTTTCCCACACATACACATAATGTTTAAAGTAATTTTACTAGAATATAGATCTTACCATCTGTTGGTACTGTGCAGGCAGATTCACATGGTGGTGGTAACTAAAATAAAATATTAAAATGTATTAGTCTAATCCCAGACAAAAAAAATAAGCTAAAAGTACACTGACACAAAAATTAAAAAGAATCGGAACAGAAGACAACTATCTCAATTTTTAGGTTCTAAAAATAATTTATAATACATGGGAACAATGCAAGGTTTGTTCTACTGCTAAGAAACACTAACAAATTCAAACCTTGACTTTAACGATATATTGGAGAATAAAAAAAAAGTTTTGAAATAAAGAATAAAAACTGATTTTATACAGGGGACAGCCCTGTGGCGCAGTAGTTAAGTTTGGTGCGTCCTGCTTCGGCAGCCCAGGTTTGCTGGTTTGGATCCCGGGCACAGACCTACACCACTCGTCAACCACGCTGTGGTGGAAACCCACATATAAAAAGTAGAATAAGATTGGCACAGATGATAGCTCAGGGCTGACGTTCCTCAAGCAAAAAAAAGAGAAAGACTGGCAACAGATGTTGGCTCAGGGCCATTCTTTCTCACCAAAAAAAAAAAAAAAAAAAAGATGAGGATTGGCAATGGATGTCAGCTTACGGCAAATCTTCCTCAGCAGAAAACACCCAAAAAACAAAAAAACTGATTAATGCATATATGATTTTATATATATATATATATACACATATACATAAAATGTAGGCAGAGTGTTCTTATTGAAATGTTATGATTGTTAACCAATGGCTTTTTCCTTCCAACTTTTCTTATCCACCTCAACTTTGTCAGAATTCATGTATAAATACAGATAAATCTAAAAGCATTGGCTTCATCATTATATTGTTCTTTTTTCTTTACTACCCCATTTACAAGGCAGTAAAAAGTCAGACCTCATTTTCTTTTGTTTTTCTTATTTAATATTTTAAATGAAAATAATTTAAGATGATCTAATTCAGTCTTTTGGTTAATCTAAAATAGACAGTTAAAAATAGTACAAAATCAAAATTATTTCTTTGATGGATGGTTTTAAGTCTTTTTGAGGATTATGAACCACTCCACGATGGTACCTGAAATTTGATAACTTCATCAGTCCTTGTTATAACCAAGTCAAGTAAGTTCCTATTGGTTCTTTTGTGAAAAATGGCTTATGATAGATACACAGGCACTTGGGTTAGCTGGTACATTCTGGAATCACTTTGTTGTTACAAATTGTACTACTTTGCTATCTGCCCAGTTTAGGGCTGACAGGGCCCTCCCTCAGCTTCTCCCCTCAGTGAAATGTCTACTTGTGTGTGTTCTTGGTTTGTAATTTCAAGACCTCACACAGTAATATGTATACAAGAGGTATGCAAATATTTGTTCAAAGTATTTTCCCTCCCCATTTAGCACCATATGTTTCAGCCACCAGGTATGTTCTTTTTCAAGGAAACTTTTACATACAGCATCCACGATGGCTTTGGCAGCATCAGGACCACACTTAAAGGGGCTCTCAGACACTGTGGTGTTCACGCTATTAAATAAAACAAAGTAGTCATGAGTCAGTAACAAAACTTCTCTCTTAAGAGTTAAAAAACAACAAGTTGAAGATGGTAGGCCAGATGAGATTCAAGTTTGGTTTACCTAAATCTCAAGTTTACTCAAATTGCAGGATACAAAATCAATATACAAAAATATGTTGCATTTATATATGCTAATCATGAACTATCTGAAAGAGAAATTAAGAAAAAAATCCTATTTACAATTGCATCAAAAACAAACAAACAAACCTAGGAATCAATTTAACCAAGGAGGTGAAAGATCTGTACACTGAAAACTATAAGACATTACTGAAAGAAATGGAAGACGACACAAATAAATGGAAAGATATTCCATGCTCATGGATTGGAAGAATATTGTTAAAATGTCCATACTACACAAAGCAATCCACAGATTCACTGCAATCCCTATCAAAATTCCAATGGCATTCTTCACAGAAATAGAACAAATAATCCTAAAATTTGTATGGAACCACAGAAGACTCTGAATAGCCAAAGCAATCTTGAGAAAGAGGAACAAAACTGGAGGCATTCTACTCCCTGATTTCAAACTATATTACAAAGCTATAGTAATCAAAACAGTATGGTACTGGCATAAAAACAGACACATAGATCAATGGAACAGAAATAAAGACCCCAGAAATAAACCCATGCATATATGGTCAACTAATTTACGACAAAGGAGCCGAGAATATACAATGGGGACAGGACAGTCTCTTCAATAAATGGTGTTGGGAAAACCGGACAGCCACATGCAAAAGAATGAAACTTGACCACTATCTTACACCATACACAAAAATCAACTTGCAATGGACTAAAGATTTGAACGTAAGACTTAAAACCATAAAACCCTTAGAAGAATAGGTGGTAAGCTCCTTGACATTAGTCTCGGCAGTAAATTTTTGAATTTGACATCAAAAACAAGGCAACAAAAGCAAAAATACACAAGTAGGACTACATCAAACTAAAAAGCTTCTGCACAGCAAAGGAAACCATCAATAAAACGAAAAGGCAGGGCCGGCCCCGTGGCTTGGTGGTTAAGTGCGTGCGCTTCGCTGCCGGCGGCCGGGGTTCGGATCCCGGGTGCGCACCGAGGCACCGCTCCTCCGGCCATGCTGAGGCCGCGTCCCACGTGCAGCAACTAGAAGGATGTGCAGCTATGACAGACAACTATGTACTGGGGCTTTGGGGGAAAAATAAATAAATAAAATCTTAAAAAAAAAAAAAACGAAAAGGCAACCTACTGAATGGCAGAAAGTAGTTGCAAATCATATATTTGATAAGGGGTTAATATCCAAAATATATAAAGAACTCATACAACTCAAGAGCAAAAACAACAATCTGATTAAAAAATGGGCAGAGGATCTAAACAGACATTTTTCCAAAGAAGATATACAGATGGCCAACAGGTACATGAAAAGATGCTCAAAATCACTAATCATCACGGAAATACAAATCAAAACCACAATGAGATATCATCTCATATCTATTAGGATGGCTATTATTAAAAAGACAAGAAATAACAAGTGTTGGCAAGGATGTGGAGAAAAGGGAACCCTTGTGCACTACTGGTGGGAATGCAAATTGGTGCAGCCACTATGGAAAATAGTACAGAGGTTCCTCAAAAAATTAAAAATAGAACTACCACATGATCTACAATTCCACTTCTGGGTATTCATCTGAAGAAAATGAAAACACCAATTCAAAAATATATCTGCACTCCCATGTTCAATGCAGCATTATTTACAATAGCCAAGATATGGAAACAACCCAAATGTCCATAGATGAATGAATGGACAAAGAAAATGTGGTATATATACACAATGGATTATTATTCAGCCATAAAAAAAGAATGAAATTTTGCCATTTGCAATAACATGGATGAACCTTAAGGGCATTAAGCTAAGTGAAATAAGCCAGACAGAAAAAGATAAATACCGTATGATCTCACTTATGTGTAGAATCTAAAAAAACAAAAAAAACCCAAACTAGCTCAGGGATAGAGAACAGATTGGTGGCTGTCTGAGGTGCGGGGTGGGGGTGGTGGGTTAAATGGGTGAAGGGAGTCAAAAGGCACAAATTTCCAGTTACAAAATAAATAAGTCATGGGGATGAAATGTACAGCATGGTGACTACAGTTAATAATACTGTATTGCATATTTGAAAGTTGCTAGGAGAGTGGATCTTGAAAGTTCTTATCACAAGAAAAAAAATTTTGTAATTATGTATGGTGACGGATGTTAACTGGACTTATGGAGATCATTTTGCAATAAATACAAATACTGAATCATTACATTATACACCTGAAACTAACATAATGTTATGTCAATTATACCTCAATAAAAATTAATTAAAAAAAAGTTGATGGTAGGCCAGATGAGATTCAAGTTTGGTTAGTCGAAAGCTTTCTCACCTATATTAAATATTCTAATTATTTATTTTGGCAAGTTACAGTTATTCTTGTTGTCAATACCTTAAGAAGTCCAGATTTAGAAATCTGAGATTGAACGCTTTGTAATTCTCACTGAAATAGCTAAGAAATGCAAATTAAGATGAGAATCACAGCTTTCCAAGTTAGACAAAAGGAAAAAACAGACAAAACATCCAGTTCCTATCAGCTGGTGAGGCACCAGAGATAAACATTCCTGGCAGGAGTAACACCTGGTTCAATATTCCCGAAAAAGAATCTGGTAAAATGTGTCCAAAACTTTTTTAAAAGTTCATACGCTTTGAGGGGCCGGCACTGTGGTATAGCAGTTAAGTGCACGCAATACACTGTGGCTGCCCCGGGTTCTAATCCCAGGCGCACACCCACGCACCACTTGTCAAGCCATGCTGTGGCGGCATCCCACATAAAGTGGAGGAAGATGGGTACGGATGTTAGCCCAGGGCCAGTCTCCCTCAGCAAAAAGAGGATTGGCATCAGATGTAAACTCAGGGCTGATCGTCCTCACAAAACAAAACAAAAAAGAAAAGTTCATATGCTTTGATAGAGAAGTTCTACCTCACAGAACTCAGAGATTTAAATCATGATCTACAAAAATGTTCAACATAGACGATCTCGCTATTGATAACAGTGAAAAGCTGGAAGTAACCAAAATGTCCAACAACAGGGATGATTAAAAAATGGTTTATCTGTGAGATGAAATATTATATAGAGGTGGAATATTATTATAAAAAATATTTTTAATGACATGGGGAAATACAGTATTAAATTTTTAAAAAATCATAAAGCAAATTGTATATACAATATGATCCTAATTATTTTTAAAAGTATTATATACACCCACAAAGGACTGTAAAAAGAAAAACTCTAATAAATGTTAATAGGAGTATCTTTGGAAAACCTGTGATTAGGGTGATTTTTTTAAAATATATGTTTTCTTTTCGTTTATCCGTTCAAAATTTCTTATATATTAATTGTTGTGGTATAACATGGGTATGATCAGAAATAGTCTATTAAAATGAAAAAGGAAATATCTGCAGTTATCTGTTACTTAACATGCATTAAGGCCATTTCCATAGAAATAAGCTACCACAAAATAGAGAAGTTAACTTAAAAGCAACATCTTACGATTGCACATTTTCACACAAATGCGTAACTGTGCTCAGTTTTTCTTATGTTTGTGGAAAGACAATGTTTTCATTTTACAGGACATTATCCTGACTCACAGAATACAAGATTCCTGAGAATTATTTTTATACATTAGGAATTTCTCATACTCAGAAAAAAATCTTACTGCCCAGATAACTCTTGACATTTAAAAAAAAGAAAGTAATACATATAGTTAGAAAACTCAGCAACCCACAAAATGAAAGCCTTCCTCTCCTCTCCAAATGATTGTCTTCAAAGGCAATCATTATTTATAGTTCTTGTTTCCCTCCAGAAAAAAAATTTAAATATAAATAAATAGATGGCTGGTGTGTGTGTATTTATCTTGCATAAATGGTATCATACTAAATATACCACTATGGACTTTGCTTTTCTCCCTTTATATTTTGTGTGTGCGTGTGTGTGTGCGTGTGTGTCCGTGTGAGGAAGATCAGCCCTGAGCTAACATCCATGCTAATCCTCCTCTTTTTGCTGAGGAAGACCAGCTCTGAGCTAACATCTATTGCCAATCCTCCTCCTTTTTTTTTTTGTCCCCCCAAAGCCCCAGTAGATAGTTGTATGTCATAGTTGCACATCCTCTTAGTTGCTGTACGTGGGACACGGTCTCAGCATGGCCCAAGAAGCCGTGCGTCAGTGCGCGTCTGGGAGCTGAACCCGGGCCACCGGGGCCAGCCCCTCCCTTAATATATTTTGGATATCATTCCAGATCAACATATATAGATTTTTTTTAATGTGCCACATACTGTTGTATTTACAGGCATGCATTGCATAATGATGTTTCTGTCAATAACGGACTGCATATATGACGGCAGCCCCATAAGATAGGTACCATATAGCCTAGGTGTGTAGTAGGCTATACCACCTAGGTTTGTGTAGGTACACTACGATGTTCACACAACGACAAAATTACCTAACAACACATTTCTCAGAACGTATCCCTGTCATTAAGTGACAAATGACTGTATTGATGTACTTAACCATTACATTTTGGTTCTAACTTTTTGCTATTATAAATGAATATCCTTATAAATATATCTTGGTGAACTTTTGGAATATATCTATAGGATACATTCCTAGCAGTGGTGGTATGAAGAAATACATGCAATTTTAATTTTTAGACTGGATATTGTCAAATTGCCCTTCATAAAGGTTGTACCCATTTATACTCTCACCAACTATATGTGTTCTTGGCATCCTTAGCTATTATCTAATTTTTTTAATTTTTGCAAATCTAATGGGGGATAACATTATCTTGCTGAACTGCATTTTAAACTAGGAGTGAGACTGTACACCTCCTTACATGCAAACTTCCTTTTCCTACCTTGTGTCCTCCATCTATTGAGTTGTTAATCTTTTTCTTCTCAACTTGAATAAGCTCTTTATAAATTAAGGAATTTAGCCCTTTGTCATGTGTTGTTAAAAAAGAAGAAACTGGGAAAAACTGTCTCCTGATAAATAAAAAATATTCTAAGTAAAACTTTCTTTTATGGATTTTGAGGTTGTGCTATTTGGAAAGGCCTTCCCTACTACAAGCTAATAAATAAATTCACCTATACTTTTCCTAGAATTTTTTTTTTTTTAACAGAAATTTTTTTTATTGTGAAATTTTTGTTGTACATTATTGTTTATCAGTCACCATATAAGTGCATCCCTCCACCCCTTGTGCCCACCCCCCACCGCCCTTGCCCCTGGTAACCACCAAAAGTTTTATCTGTCAGTGTGTTGGTTTATCTTCCACATGTGAGTGAAATCATGCACTGTTTGTCTTTCTCTTTCTGGCTTAGTTCACTTAACATAATACCCTCCAGGTCCATCCGTGTTGTTGCAAATGGGTAGAATTTTTTAACATTACAATTTATCTGTCTGGAATTAAATACTGACGTAAGACAAAGGCTGCAAACTGAAATGCCGGCAGAGCACCCAGCTAACATAACGGTATATAAAGTAGCTGCACGTAAGAACACTGGTGCTGGGCTGCTTCTACAGGGCGCTTGCGGAGCACCTGCCTGGTTTCCAGCACCTTTAAAAACAAAACCAAACAGCCAGAACAGGGAGGTGGTTGCCAGTGCGCATTTCTGGCATAAGGAGGGTAAAGAGCAAGATAGAGATCTAGTCTATTTTCTTCCTAACAGCCAGTTGGTCCAAAACCAATCATTCATAATACCGTCTTTATTATAAACTAAATTCCCATATATCTTTAGGTCTACCAAACTCTAACAGAACTGAATAATTTGACTTTCTTCAATACCAAACTCTTAGTAAAACAATATCCCTAAACAATACTCCTCCCCACCACCGCTACCGTTATTTTTTTCAGAATTTTCTTGGCTATTTTCACATGCAAATTTTTTCTAGATGAAACTGAATATTATTCACGAACATAATATACCTTTATACTTAACATCTTTTATATTTCTCAATAGTCAAAATTTTCTTCTTCTAGGTCCTGTAGATGTCTTCTTTATATCTTGGGTTTTTTTTTTTTAAATACTATTCCATAGGAGATCTTTTCCTCCATTATAGTTTCTGTTACAGTTTGTATAGAAAGCTATCAATGTACATATACGCTCATTTTGTAATTGGTCACCCTGCTGAATTATTTTTTCTAGGGTTTTCTGGGTATGCAATCATATCATCTGCCACAATTTGCTCCCCCTTTTCCAATATTCCTGCATCAAAACACATCATCTCTCTTGTTTACTTCATTGACTCCTATTTCCAGAACACTATTAGTTAAGTGATGATAGTGGGCACTCTTATAAATCTTTAAATACCGAAGAGGAAGCAATTGTTCTGAACATGTGTTGGGGGCCAGATAGAACTGGATGGGAGTCCTAATTCAAAACACTTATTGTGGGATGACTTTGGTTAAGTTTAATCTCCCTTCATCTCTGTTACATGCTTGGCAAATATTAACTGCTCAATAAATATTAGCTATTATTATTAGTGGCAGTAAATATCGTGTGCACAGTAGATACAGGTTTATTTGTGATGTATCTTACACGTTTACACCAAAGAATACCAACCCTTGAAGTCGGCCTGATTTTACCCATTACACTCTGAGCACCCTGATGCTAGGCCACCCTTCCCAATTACCCTCACAAAGCTCTGATCTCACTGTCCTCTTTATAGTTTCAGCTTCTCTTGTTCAGACAGCATCTTACTGGCACGTTTCAGTTGTGTATATATCTACCTTCCCACTCACTTGAGCAATGACTGACAAAATGGATTATCGCTTTTCTAAGTGAATATAACTGACCAGTGTGTTATGGTTATTAAAACCTTTGGAGCAAGCTGGTCTGCTTTGTGTGTTAAACATGCGGAGAAGAGCTAACGCTTACCAACTGATTCCTTTGCCATCGATTTTCTTCGTCACCAGTGCTCTCCAATAGTCATGGGTGCTTTTAATAATATCAATTGCAAAGTCCTATAATTTGAAGAGATGTGCATTACAATGATAGAAAAGTGTTCTTTTCTTATTATCAACATTTTCCCAAAGCCTGATAACTCTCTTTTGAATCACTTCCTTATATCAAAAAGGGAAGAAAACATTTAAATGAATAAATCACCATCAAGGCTGTCTTAAGTCTTTAGACATTTGTTTTATGATCATATAGTCTTTAGATGGTAACAACATGGTTAAATTATAAGTCTCAAACAAATAGGCCTAAAGCTACAGTTCTGAATGATACATTACCTTATCTTTAAATTCTGCATTGAAAGCAAACTGGTTCTCTGGTTTTCCATCAGGAACCTTGTACCTTCTAAACCAGTCCACAGTAGCTTCCAGGTAACCAGGTTTCAGCCGCTTGACATCATTAATATCTAAGAAGAGAATAAGCAGGTTGTAAGATGTATATGAAATTACTTATGCATTCAATAAAAATATCAAGTACTTATTTTGAGAAAGCTATGGGATGGATTATCAACAAAGTTCAAAATAATGTTAGAGCTAACCACCTTTTTGAGAAGAGAGCACATATATACATTAACAAGAAACCATCTAGTGTCTTAGAATAGCTCTGATGTTAAGTACTAAGAGAATAATCAGTACAATAGTAACTTCTACTAGATAAGAGGAGGTAGAAATGACTGGGGGCTACATAATGAAAGAACAGTTTGGCACGTGTGGATAACTTCTAGGAGAAGGATAGAAGATACTAAAAAAGACAGGTTGAGGCTGTATTCAGAGGATCACACCCCAATTACATACTAAAAGACAAGAAAAATGGATTACACTGATACCTATTGATGGGTTACATATTAAGTGACTAGACTTTTCTTGCTCTATAGTATACGCATTCTTTTTTTTTTTTTTTAAAACACTTTATAATTTTATTTATTTTTTCCCCCAAAGCCCCAGTAGATACTTGTATGTCATAGCTGCACGTCCTTCTAGTTGCTGTATGTGGGACGCGGCTGGAGAAGCAGTGCGTTGGTGCGCGCCCAGGATCTGAACCCGGGCTGCCAGCAGCGGAGCGCGCGCACTCAACCGCTAAGCCACGGGGCCGGCCCCTATAGTATACGCATTCTATATCACAATGCTTTAGGTCTGGCCAACAGAAGAGTGTTCTGTTCAAAAAAACTTCTAAAAGTTTCTGTACAGCCATCAAAAACGGCTAGCTTCAACATCAAACTCAATTTTGAATGACAAAACTGTCGCTCAGTGCAAGCAAATACAAGATACAAGTGCTAAAAATATCAATCAGGAAAAGTATTCTTGAAAGGAGGAATACATTCAACAGAAGCTTATTCATATCTGCATAACATAACTTTGCTTAAGTCCAATTTATAATCTTCATAGTTAAAGAATATCATGCACTCTATTATCATAATACCACTAAAAGCATGGAAAGTTTGCAAAGTGAACTGGGAAATGTTTAAACATTGATAAGCTTCAAAGAACTTATAATTAACATAAAACGTATCACCAGATACAAAAATAATTTGAAAATCCAGAAATCCAAAATGCAAGTGTGGGGTGTTTTCCAACACCAACACCTGATTCTCCAATTCTCCAGGCACCAATTTGGTGTGTCACAATTCAGTTCAATTCTGACACTATCTATCTGGAATTAGCGTCAGATCCCACAAACTAAAGGGATCAGTCCCACAAAACTGACCCCACTTCAGACGCCAGTCGCAAGTCCCAAGCCACACACACTTCTGACTGACTGCTATAAATTAGGGGTTCTCACAACTCCCTCCTCAGGTTTAATTTGCTAGAATGACTCCTAGAACTCAGGAAACACTTCACTTACATTTACTGGTTTATTATAAAGGACACAACTCAGGAACAGCCAGATGGAAGAAATATATAAAGCAAGGTATAGGGAGAGGGGTGTGGAGCTGCCATGCCCTCTCAGGGAAGGTGAACCATCCTCCCAGCTCCTCGAGGTGTTCACCAACTCAGAAGCTCTCTGATTCTCATTATTCAAGAATTCTATCGAGTTCAATCTCCAGCCTCCCCTCATCTCAGAGCTTGGTAGGTGGGGCTGAAAGTTCTCACCCTCTAGTCACCTGGTCTTTCTGCGGACCAGCCCCAGTCTGAGGCTAGCTAGGGGCCCCACCCTAAACCACCTTAAACTCAGGTGTGACCAAAGGAGCTCATTATGAATAACAAAACAAACTACAAACACTCAGGAAATTCCAAGGGTGTTAGGAGCTCTTTGCCAGGAAGCGGAGACCAAATCTATTTTTGTATTATACCACAGCAAGGCAAAATATAAGAGCCGACTAACTCTCTGATTGTGAACCAGTCATTTAAAAGTATGCTGGATCCAGGCTGCGAAACCCTGAACGCCATACTCAGGAAAAAAAAATTAGGAAAAAAAGACCTCAATTTTTGTTCCTCGTGTTATATATCATGTATGCGTAGACAAGGCCAGTGGTCTGCAGAGCTACCTGAACTGCCTCCTGATGCCACATCAAGATCCTACCGACGACAGCACCAGTTCTGCGCTGCTCCTTCTTGGGTTTGGCTTTCTGGACCAGCCAGGCAGTGCTGTAGCACGCACGGAACCGAAGGCTCACTTTCACTGATTCCCACACCTGAGCAGGAGGGGATCTGGCTGTCATGGGCCCCACAATGACAGAGAGGATCAACGTGACTGACCTGGTTGCTTTACTGGGTGGGCCATCCTCTTCCACGGCTCTGTGCGTATCCCTCCCAAAGTTGTAGCTAGTCAAGAGTCCCCTCTATCTAGACACGCCAATAAACTCTTCAGATTACAACTGATGACAGACACTGCCTTAGGTTGACATTTAGGGAAAGCTACACACTACTTGCACCCAGCCACCCAGAGCAAGTTTTCAGGGTTCTAACAACCTCTCCTGCAGGGAAATGAGACCCCAGCAAAATGGTGCTAACATAATGACAGGCACAGCTTCACTAACTGGCCACAGCACGCCACTTAACATGTGCAGTCTTGTGTAAGTCGTGCATGTGAAAAAGGGCACAATGATCAAGAGAATCAGAGCTGTACCGTCAGGGGGTTAGCGAATGGTATGAATGCATTCTCGCTGTACAAAATGTAAACAATACAGAAGTATCTGAAACACAAAGTCAGTCTCTCTTCATCCTCCTTCCTATTGCACTATTAAAGGACTGGTCTTCCATTCCTTTTTAATGAACTTACATATGCAAATGGACACATATTTAAACATATATGAGGTCATACTCTGCAAGGTAAAGATAACAGCAGAAAGGAATAATACCATTTTGCCTTAGTGATCTTTCCATACCTGTATATGCAGGTCTACTTTATCCTTTGTAACAGCCACACAGTATTCCATCATCTGGACAGACCATAATTATTTAACCATCCAACTGGTGATGGACACTCAGGCTCTTTCCAGGTTTTTGCTACTATCAACAACGCTGCAATGAATATTCCTATATATACATCCATCTCTGTATATATTTATGAGGAATTCCATGGAATAGATACTTAAAGTAGAATTGCTAGGTCAAAGTGATATTGATAATAATGCCAATTTTCTATAAATGCTCTAGAAAACAATCTTATTTGGGATATTTGAAAAATATTTCCAGTGTAAAAGGAGAAGGCAGCAGTTCATCCTCCCTTCATATGGTGCTTTTCACTTTTGCAAACCCTTTTCACCTAGTCTCTCATTTGACTACCATCACAAAATCATGGTATTTACAGATAATTATGAACTTAACCGAAGTTATGTGGCCAATAAGCTAAAGAATCCACATCTCAGCAACTAGTCCAATGCTCTTTCCACTAACAAGACAAATCTCTCTTATTAATCTTAACAAGACAAAAAACCTTTCTTGGCACTACCTAGTAATGTCAGAATAATAATGCTTTGAGATCTCCTAGCTCACACAACTGTGATTAAGAAAATACAACGCCTAGGAGAAAGAATGGACCACTACCAGGATTTCCGAAACAGGTATAAACTTTACCACTAGGATAGCTGTAGGCTGGCTGCTGTAATCGCAATAAACAACCATAACCATCAACACTCCTCTCTTGTGATGAATGTAAAGATGTTGACTCTTGCATAAGAAATCTCAAATTATAATTTGGTTACTGGAATCAAATGCCTTAATTAGACCCAAGAACCCAACAGATAAATCACAGTGCTGTCCTCTGCAGTTCTGAGGCTTGCCACCTTTTAAGTGACCGAGAAATCATGTGATTTTCTGGAGGAACACCCAAATCTTTGACATGTACATCTTTTTTTTTTTTTTTTTTTTTTTTTTTTTAAAATTTTTTTTTTTTTTTTTTTTCCCCCCAAAGCCCCAGTGGATAGTTGTATGTCGTAGCTGCACATCCTTCTAGTTGCTGTATGCGGGACTCGGCCTCAGGATGAACGGAGAAGTGGTGCCTCGATGCGCACCCGGGATCCGAACCCGGGCCGCCAGCATCGCAGCGCGCGCACTTAACCACCAAGCCACAGGGCCGGCCCTGACATGTACATCTTATTAATGAGTCTGATAATGCTGAAGTTGAGGTGTCAGGAGTAAATGTGCTCTCAAATCTCATCAAGGCCCCTACAAATCAATCCCTTTGGACTGGTTACATCTTTGGAGGCTACAAAACATGTCTTGTTTTCTAACCATGGTTAGGGAGCTACAGTATGAAACATAGGATTCACTGGCAAGTGCATATGAGGACTTCCATCACCAGCCTATGGTGTTCCATCTTCAGAGAGTTAGAGTAGAGTACTTCTGTAGGCACAAGCAACATGACTCTCAGGTTAACATCTCACTGTAGAACCCCAATGAGGAAAAACAATCAAAACTTCACAGCCTACTACTGGACACTGACTTGAGTGTTCTTCCCAATGACTGAAATGTAGCCATCAGCCCTGTAACATCTACAGAGAAATACATTTGGTTCACATCATTTTTAGACCTTCTCAATAGCACCTCACATCCTATTTTTTTTTTTTTTAATAATTTTATTTATTTTTTTTTCCCCCAAAGCCCCAGTAGATAGTTGTATGTCATAGCTGCACATCCTTCTAGTTGCTGTATGTGGGACGCGGCCTCAGCATGGCCTGAGAAGCGGTGTGTCGGTGCGCGCCTGGGATCCGAACCTGGGACGCCAGTAGCGGAGTGCGTGCACTTAACCGCTGAGCCACGGGGCCGGCCCTAAACTTTTAATTTTAAAGCAGTTGCAGGGCCGGCCCCGTGGCTTAGCGGTTAGGTGCGTGCGCTCCGCTGCTGGCGGCCCGGGTTCGGATCCCGGGCGCGCACTGACGCACCACTTCTCCGGCCATGCTGGGGCCGCGTCCCACATACAGCAACTAGAAGGCTGTGCAACTGTGACATACAACCATCTACTGGGGCTTTGGGGGAAATAAATAAATAAATAATTAAAAAAAAAATAAATAAATAAAGCAGTTGCAGATTTACAGAAAAGTTGTGAAGATACTACAGTAGAGAGTTCCCAGATACTCTACACCTAGTTTCCCCTGTAATTAGCATCTTATATGACCACGGTACATTTGTCACAATTAACGAACCAACATTGGTACATTATCAACTGAGGTCCTTTTCTTATTCCAGGATTCCATTACATTTAGTTGTCATGTCTCCTTAGGCTACTCTTGGCTATGACAGTTTCTCAGACTTACCTTGTTTTTGATGACCTTGACTGTTTTGAGGAGTGCTGGTCAAGCATGCTGTAGGATGCCCCTCTACTGGGATTTGCCTTATCTTTTTCCTCAAGAATAAACTAAGGTTGTGGGTTTTGGGGAGGAAGACCACAGAGGTAAAATGCCATTCAAAACACATCATTTCAAGAGTACATTCTCTCAAGATGACTCTTATCACTGTTGATCTTGACCTTGATCACCGGGCTGAGGTCGTGTTTCTCAGGTTTCTCTGCTGTAAAGTTGTTCTCCCCCCGCCCCCCGCCCCACTTTCCACACTAGACTCTTCGGAAGGAAGTCACTATGTACAGCCCGCGCTTCAGGAGTGGGAAGTGTGCTCCACCTCCTCAAGGCTGGGTGTATTTACATAAATTATTTGGAATTATTCTGCTTGGGAGAGTTGTCTATTCTTCCCCATTTGTTTATTTATTCAATCATTTATTTATGTCAGTATGGACTCATAGATATTTATTTTATACTCTGGGCTATAATCCAATACTACTTTACTGGATTCAGTCAGAGTCAGAGAAGGAGATGGGTTAAGGACTCGACTTGCCATTGCTGCCTTTGAAGACCGACAGGGGACATGAATCAAAGAATGTGGTGGGCAGCCTTTAGAAGTTGGAAAAAGCAAGGAAAAGAATTCTCTCTTAGAGCCTCCAGAAGGAATGCAATTCTGCTGACACCTTGATTTTAGCCCAGTGAGACTCATTTCGGTCGGGCAAGAGAAGACTAATTCAGTAACTAGATAAATGGATTAGATCATTAACTAGAGGCAAGGTTAATATAAAAATAGTCAAGATAAAAAATAGTCAAGATAAACAAGACATAACGTTAAAAGGTATAAACGTTTCTTTTTCAAAAAGGACTCAGACAATCAAATTACAGCACTAACCTGTACATTTATGGTCAATTGGTTTTCAACAATGAAGCCAAGACAATTTAATGGGGGAAAGAACAGTCTTTTCATCAAATAGCACTGGGACACTTGGATATACACATGCAAAAGAATGATGCTGGACTCCCATACACCATATACAAAAATTAACACAAAATAGATCAAAGACCTAAATGTAAGAGCTAAATTTGTAAAACTCTTAGAAGGAAACATAAGTGTAAATCTTTGTGACCTTGGATTAGGCAATTGTTTCATTAGATATGACACCAAAAGCACAAGCAACAAATGAAAAAATTGATAAATTTAGACTAATAAAAATGAAAACCTTGAGTGCTTGCATTAAGAAAATGAAAGGACAATCCATAAAATAAAGAAAATATGGACAAATCATATATCTGGTAAAGGTCAAGTACCCAGAATATATAAAGAACTCTTGCAACTCAACAATAAAAAGACATACCCACTAGAATAGCTATAATACAAAAAGATAATAACAAGTGTTGGCAAGAAAGTAGAGAAACTGGAACATATTATGCACCGCTGGCAGGAGTGTAAAATGGTGCAGCTGCTTTGGAAAAAAGTTTGGCAGTTCCTCAAAATGTTAAACATCAGAGTTACCACAGGACTCAGCAACTCCACTCCTTGGTATATACACCCAAGAGGATTAAAAATATATGCCCACACAGAAATGCAAATCAAAACAACACTAAGATACCACCTCACGCCTGTTAGAATGGCTATAATCACCAAGACAAAAAACAACAAATGTTGGAGAGGATGTGGAGAAACAGGAACCCTCATACACAGCTGGTGGGAATGCAAATTGGTGCAGCCTCTATGGAAAACGGTATGGAGATTCCTCAAAGAATTAAAAATAGAGATGCCCTATGATCCAGCCATCCCACTACTGGGAATCTATCCAACGCACCTGAAATCAACAATCCAAAGAGGCTTATGCACCCCTATGTTCATTGCAGCATTATTCACCATAGCCAAGAAGTGGAAGCAACCTAAGTGTCCCTCGACAGACGATTGGATTAAGAAAATGTGGTATATATATACAATGGAATACTACTCAGCCATAAAAAAAGACAAAATCGTCCCATTTGCAACAACATGGATGGGCCTGGAGCGTATTATGTTAAGTGAAATAAGCCAGAAAGAGAAAGACAAACACTGCATGATCTCACTCATATGTGGAATATAAACCGACACATGGACAGAGAAAACTGGACTGTGGTTACCAGGGCAGTGGGGGTGGGGGGTGGGCACAAGGGGTGAAGGGAGTCATATATATGGTGATGGACAAACAAAAATGTACAACCCAAAATTTCACAATGTTAGAAACCATTAAAACATCAATTAAAAAAAAAATTGTAAATTAAAAGTGGGAAAGAAACAGCTTGATGTGTTTAATTATAAAGCTGTGACAACTGAAATAATATTTGTTTGTGCTCATTCTTTTCTCTTTAATGATTTTTAAACATAATAGAAGGATCTTTATTATAAAAAAGTGATGTTTTTTCCATGTGTGCTTTCTGTGAAAAATAAAAAGTATTTTTGATCTATAAAAAAAAAATATATATATATATATATATGCCCACACAAAACCTGGTACAGCAATGTGCATAGCAGCATTATTCCTAATAGCCAAAAACAACCTAAATGTCTATCAACAGATGAATGGATAAATAAAATGGTATATATCCATATAATGGAATGTAATTCAACCATAAAAAGGAATGAGTACTGATACATGTTAGAACACAGATGAACCTAGAAAACATTATGCTAAGTAAAAGAAACCAGACCCAAAAGACCACCTATTTTACAATTCCGTGTATATGAAATATCCAGAATAGGCAAATTAGAGACAGAAAGCAGATTAGCAGTTGCCAGGGCCTGAGAGGAGGAGGGAATAAGGAGTGACTGCTTAGAGGTACGGAGTTTCCCTTTGGAGTGATGAAAATGTCCTGGAACTAGATAGCAGTGATGGCTGCACAACACTGTGAATGTACCAAATACCACAGAATTATACGCTTTAAAATAGTTAAAATTGTGAATTTTACGTTAAGTGAATTTTACCACCAAAAACAAAGGGAATGAAATACTGATACATGTTACAATGTGGATGAACTTTGAAAATATTATGCTCAGTGAAAGAAGCCAGACATATCACCATATGATCCCACTTATGTGACATGTTCAGAATAGACAAATCCATAGAGACCGACACTAGATTAGTGGTTGCCAGGGACTGAGGGAAGTGGAGATAGGGAGCAACTGCTAATGGATACAGGGTTTCCTGTTGGAGTGGTGAAAATGTTCCAGAATTAGATAGTGGTGATGGATGTACACAACCTAGTGAATACATTAAAATTCACAGAATTGGGCAGGCCCCGTGGCTTAGCGGTTAAGTGTGCGCACTCCGCTGCTGGCGGCCCGGGTTCAGATCCCGGGCACACACCGATGCACCACTTCTCCGGCCATGCTGAGGCCGCGTCCCACATACAGCAACTAGAAGGATGTGCAGCTATGACATACAACTATCTACTGGGGCTTTGGGGGGCGGAATTCACAGAACTGTATACTTTAAAATGGTGAATTTTATGGTGTGTATATTATATCTCAATTACAGAAGATTTTTAAAAAAATAGAGCAACCGATTGCTAGTATAGTATGTACAGAAGGAAAGGAAAAAACAGGAAACACAAACTACCAGATTTTTCTTTCCTGGAACGAAGGAGAAAGTTTACTTAGTTAATTACTGAAGTTCAGGAGTAGAAATAACAGTGCTTTGTCAGGTTTGCTCCTTCATTCTTGAACAGCTGGAAGGACATGCTTACAATCCTGTCATTACAGGTTAAGGTTGGTGATGCGTAAGGTTTAGGTATAAAGACTCAGACTCTTCATATTTCCTTACCGTTATAATTGGCTGCGTCAGGATCATCCACATTAATAGCAATGACTTTCCAGTCGGTTTCCCCTTCATCAATCATAGCCAAGATGCCCAGAACTTTCACTGTGATTATTTCACCTCTTGCACATACCTGAGAATCAATAATCACAGTCAGGCCAATACTACAGAATGAAAGTTTGGAAGAAAGTTTAACTTGGTAGATAATAGGAAATAAGGAAGATGTGAAGTTTCTGTAAACTTACCTTAAGATTGTTTCTTTAAGCAATTTTTAAAAAGCGAAATAAGTAAATGCACATCAGTCTTATCAAAATTGAAAATAGGTAGCCCTTATTACTTCTAGGTCCTAGGAAAATCAGTAACACAGTTCAGGGTAATTAATGTTTTTTGAACTGCCATTGATTGTACCAAAGAATAAATGCTCCATAATTTGTTTCAAACACATATTTAAATGTGCTTTCTTGACTTTTTATTTTACAGACGCCCCTGAGTTGGCAAGTCATACAATGACTTAACTTTATGACTTAAAAAACTGAATGACATTACAGCAACTAGAAGGATGTGCAACTATGACATACAACTATCTACTGGGGCTTTGGGGAAAAAAAGGAGGAGGACTGGCAATAGATGTTAGCTCAGAGCTGGTCTTCCTCAGCAAAAAGAGGAGGATTAGCATGGATGTTAGCTCAGGGTTGATCTTCCTCACAAAAAAAAAAAACAAAAGCTGAATAACAACTTTTCAGTTGTTTACTATTTCCCTGAGCCTGAAAAAGACCATAAAGAAATATAACTATAGTCAGAATCTTAGAGCAATCCTATTTGACAGGGGAATCCCTACCATAAATCACCAGCTCATGAGGTTATTTGGCGTGGGTCAATTCAGTGACCACTCTAAATCACTGGGCAAGGTTTGTCTTGTATTGCGATGAAATTTGCCTCCTAGTACTTTTCACCTGTTGACTAGTTGTCTGCCTTCTAAAGCAACGCAGAACACATTCACTTCTTCCACAGATATGTATAGCCATACACGTATATATACACATTTTTTTCTAGAGTAGGTTTAAATGTACAAATTATAATATACAAATGCTTAGATAAAATGGAAGCTTTTAATTTATCACCCAAAGAGACATCAATATTTCACTAATATTCATATATTTTACTCACAATATTTTTTAAAGTATGATCTTATTATATTTCATTAATATCATCTTAACACTAAAACTATTTCCATTACCTTGCTTCCAATTTCACACACATCAATTGGGTCATTGTCACCACAACAGCCAGTGTGTTTGTCATTGTGTCCTGGGTCTTCCCAAGTCTAAAAAAAAAAAAAAAAAAAGGCTTAGAATTTATCATTCCTATACATGCTACTGACAAAATGGATCATGTTGACATTAAAAGATAACATCCCATGAGCCTTTCTGCGAGAATATGAATCTTCAGCTATTTTTTCCTCATTTTTAAGAAACTCTTTATTCACGTCTAAGAATAACTACAGAGAATTTTAATTAAATGCTAGGGCTCCTATCATGCATATAATGCTAAACTAAATTTAAGCTTTAAAACTGATAATGATCCTATTTAAAACAAAAACCAACCACCTAATAACTGAGACAACAGGCAAACACAAATATAGACCCAAATACTTACTGAAAAAATATACAAAAAGAAAAGTGCTTTGATGAACTCTTCGTACTTACTATCTTCTACTAACTAGATTTTCTTTAAAATAAATTTCCAAAGCCGAGGTAAGCAGGCAGTAATACTACAATGGAAATGATGTGTACTGAGGGTCAAAATGTCATCACTGACCAGGAGCCAAGTTGAAAAGTTTAATCAGGATTTTCCGAAGCTTTCTTTCCTGCTAAATTGCAAGACAGAGTCCTTGCAGAGCATCTCACAAACCAGTGGATGATCTGTGCTTGCCCAGAACTTAAGTTTAAAACAGAGCTGTTGTTTTGGTTCTTTTCTCCCCCAATCCAGAACATGTTACTTGGATTTGCTTGCCTATTAAGCCAGAGAGTAAAGGCAAAAAGATAAAAGTGAAGGGGGATACAGAAGACCGGACCCAACAAAGCCAAATCAAGCCTCCAAAAGAATAAGGATTTCAGCAATGCCTTCCCAGGGGCACGGAGGCCAAATACTAAATCAACTGAAGTACAAGGTGAAGTGCTATAATTAAGGCAGACAAACGACTTTGTGATTTCCTAATAAGCTAGATGAGTTTGACTTGTTTTGGTAACTTAGAGATTTCTTCACACTAGATTCCACTTAAGAGACTTAATGTTAATAAAAACAAACCATTTATCAACAGGAAAATAAGTTAAATATTTCATGTAAAAATCATAAGTCCACAGTATTAGCCTAGCAAAACCAGAATTAAATATCCATCATTTACTCATAAAAGACATGATTCTAGGGCCGGCCCTGTAGCTTAGCGGTTAAGTGCACGCGCTCCACTGTTGGCGGCCCGGGTTCGGATCCCGGGCGTGCACCGACGCACCGCTTCTCCAGCCATACTGAGGCCGCGTCCCACATACAGCAACTAGAAGGATGTGCAGCTATGACATACAACTATCTACTGGGGCTTTGGGGGAAAAAATAAAACAATAAATAAAATTATAAGAAAATAAAAGACATGATTCTAGTGATTCTTCATTCAAACATGATACAAAAACGTACTACACACACTGGCATTGTGCTGGGGATAAACTGGTAAACAATGCCAATATCCCCCTCCTCAAAGGACTGACTATTTAGGAAAATAGAATCCCATTATTACTTTACCACAAAGAGCTTGGCTTAAAGAAGGAGGAATGACTTTTAAATAAAAGTCAACAGCTGCGAGAACTGACATGTGCCAGGTTACCAAGTGCTTTACTGCTCACAGTAACCAGATGAGCTAAGCCCTATTAATATCTCAGGCGAGACACTAATGTCACAGGGAGGAAGAAACAGGCAAGTCAGATAAGCCAGGAAATGGCAGACTCGAGATGTGAACCTTAGTGTCTGGTGCCAAAGTCAGTGCTTTTCACCACTGGCTTATATTGTCTCTCTCAATAGATGTGCCACTCATTCTGCAAAGAAAGAGCTTTTATAGTTTATAACCAGTCCATATAGAAAAATAAATATTTCAGAAAAGAACAAACTTTCAAATGTGAATTTAAGCACCGTAAATATTTACCTTTCAGTTTATCTTGAAAATAAGTTATTCAAAGAAATATTAAAATGAGTTAATTACCCCTTATGCTTTTTAAATCTACTATAGCAAAAACTTTTTGAAGGTGTTTAAATTTTTTTTTTTTTTAATAACAGCAAGGTTAACTTTTTACCCTTGCACAGAGACATACCTGAGGGATGGCACCATAGTTCCAGATATATCCTTTATAAGGGAACAAATTCGCAACGTAACGGAGTTTTCCTTTCTTCACATCTTGTTTAATTGGGTTTAAAGGGTCCTTTGTAGCAATCTAAAATAAAAAATTTCAAATCATTGTATATTTGGATGTGAAATAATTTTCAAACAAGGATTTGAGGAATAAATTATGGACTGAATCTCCCCTAATTCCACTTTAATGATATATTTTACCCCCAACAGTTTTATAATTTGAAAATAAAAGTTTCTCCATAACCAGCCTTTAAGTGGAAAACTTATTTGAGGTATACAGGAACTATCAAGAAGGGAAAAAGAACACTTGCTAATTTCAGAAAGCACAACCTAAAATTAGCTGGAATAAATCCTAACATTTGAGAAATAAAAGTACTAAGATTTTTATTAAAAGGGCAAAATAAATATTACCCAACTTCAGCTTTCCATTAAACATTTAAAATTATTCAAATATTTGAGTGTCTGTTACATCCAAAGTGTGCTTACTGTCAAAAAGCTTAAGTGATATAAAATATGAATAAATATCCATAACATAAAGCCAAATATGTTAGGTGTCATCAGAAATTTACAAAATGCAATAAATTCCAATAAGATCACTTGTGGCTGGGGTGACTAAGGAAAGCCTGTTGACTCTGTGGAGGAGTCAGTGAGGCACTTACAAAGACAGAGGAGAAAAAGGTAATTCTAGGCTTTGGGAACGCAAGAAGCAAAAGTGTGGGGAAGGAAAGTCTGTAGCATATTTGCAAATAGAAATGCTTGAGTTTAGATGGAGCACTGAAGGACGACTGGCAGGTAATGGGAGATATAAATGGAAAATAGATTGGGACTAGACAACAGAAAACCTTGGACTTCAGCTGTTTAACCTTTGAGCAAATCAGTGTGGCTAGATCAAAACTAATATCCTATGTCTGACCTCAACATAAGACGAAACATACCTCCATTTTTGCATTAGACCAGCGTGGTACTTCAACCACCATGTGGAACACATCCTGAAAAACACAGGGAAAGGGAGATGGTCACAGGAGCTAATTAGTTCTCTTACTTCAGTGAGCACGCCCTGGTTCCAAAGTTAAACTGTTCATTGTATCCCATCTTTGAGGTCAATGGACTTTCAACAAAATGCATCAAAATAGAAGACAGATTGATGGATGGAGAGATAAAGCAAATAAAGCAAAATAGTCACTGTAGAATCAAGGTGGTAGGTATATGGTTGTCCACTGTAATTCTTCAAACTGTTCTGTATGTTTTAAATTTTTCATTTCATAATAAAATGTTGGTGGGGGAGGAGAATGTTTCTATAAAGAAACAGTTTTTAAACATAACAGAACTTATCTCTCTGAGGAAGGCCATCTTCAAAGCAATCATCTCCAAAGGCTGTTCATTTCCTGCAGTGCCACTGCAATTACTCACAATGTGTTTGTGTGTGTGTGTGTGTGTGTGTGAGAGGAAGATCAGCCCTGTGCTAACATCTGCCAATCCTTTTTTTTTTTTTTTTTTGCTGAGGAAGACTGGCCCTGAGCTAACATCGGTGCCCATCTTCCTCCACTTTATATGGGACGCAGCCACAGCATGGCTTGCCAAGTGGTGCGTCGCTCGCACTTAACCACTTGCGCCACCAGGCCGGCCCCACTCACAAAGTTTTTGGGTTTTCTATTTCAGAGGTGGTTTATAAGACAAACCCCAAATCAGTTTAAATACTTTGTCATACTTTAGTTTTTAGTCTCAAACAAAATTAATCAGCTCGATTACCCACATTATCCTTCCAATTTGGCTGTTTTTTAAAATCAAATACTCTTCAAAAGGATAAGAAGTTTGACACTGGAGATAAAATAATATGTTCCAGGGGCCGGCCCCTGGCTTAGCGGTTAAGTGCACGCGCTCTACTACTGGCAGCCCAGGTTCGGATCCTGCGTGTGCACCGACGCACCGCTTCTCCAGCCATGCTGAGGCCACGTCCCACATACAGCAACTAGAAGGATGTGCAACTATGTGCAACTATCTGCTGGGGCTGTGGGGAGAAAAAAGGAGGAGGATTGGCAATAGATGTTAGCTCAGAGCCGGTCTTCCTCAGCAAAAAAAAAAAAAGAGGAGGATTAGCACGGATGTTAGCTCAGGGCTGATCTTCCTCACAAAAATAAATAAATAAATAAATAAAATGAAAGATCTGTGTGTCTGTGATACAAGAACCAGTCAGGGCTGTAGAAGTTTTCAGCAGCAATACCTTAAAGGTTCACAAGATGGAGCTGTTACTACATGAAAGATTGAGAGGCAAAAACCAAAGAGTGGTTGTTAATTTTTTTAAAGAAAATATTACAAAATGAATAAATTGCCTCAAAAAAAAAAGAGTAGCAAATAGAGCTGAAATCACTAATTCGAAGTTTTGAAACTATATTGAACACTGTAATGGAATTAAATGATAAATACATATAGATCCTCAAAACTACATTACGTAATATTACAAACCTGCATAACTAATGGAAAGCAAAAAAAAAAAAAAAAAAGAAAGAAGAAAAACAACATCATAGGAAAGAAAATATCTTCCAGAAAATGTAAGATAACTCTACTGCGAACAGGAGCACTCCGAAAGCCCGGAGGTTTGGTGCTTTTTAGAAATTAGCTGGGCCAAAAAGAGAAAGAACTATGCTGCAAGCCTAGAGCCAATTCATTCATTTTTCAACAGATATTTATTGTGCACCACCGTTTTGCGCCAGACACTTTTCTAGGTGCTGAAGACCAGCAGTGAACAGATTAAAAGCTTTTTTGACTCCCTAAAAGTTGGATCCCCAACCAGGTCGTTTCAGCTGGTAGGCCTCAGGCTACAGCTTGGGGTCCGCAAACCTACGGGCAAGACTAGTCAGTAAAAGGAACACATAGCACATTTTCAAGGGTATGTAGACGCTGTAGTGGTTACTGTTATCTTTTTTTAAAGCAATGAATTTGTAGTACCTTTTAGTCATTATTTTCTCCATCAATTATTATCACAACAGAGGATGTTTTCTAAATATTTTGATATAAACAAGCGGGGGGGGTTCTCATTCTTTAGCAGGAAGGACTAAAAAACAGTTTATTTCTCCTAGACACCATGGCTACAGTTCAGGAGGTTGCCACTAGGCGAACAGTGATCCTTAGGATTTTCAGGGCAACCAATATGAGAAATTTAGCCAACTACTCCATTGCTAGAAACTCCTTTACTGTTGATTATGCATTATGCATTCTAATTGCAACTCCTGTGCACTGTTGGTAGGAATGCAAAATGGTATATAAGTGCTGTGGAAAACAGTATGGTGGTTCCTCAAAAAATTAAAAACAGAATTACCACATGATCCAGCAATTCCACTTCTGGGTAAATATACCCCTAAAAACTGAAAGCAGGGTCTTGAAGAGATATTTGTACACCCATATTCACATCAGTATTATTCACAATAGCTAAAATGTAGAAGCAACCCAAGTGTCCATTGAAGGATGAATGAATACATAAAATGTGGTATATACATACAACAGAATATTATTCAGCCTTAAAAAGGAAGGAAATTTTGACATATGCTACAACATGGATGAACTCTGAGGACATTATGCTAAGTGAAATAAGCCAGTCACAAAAAGACAAATACTGTATGATTCCACCTACATGAGGTACCTAGAGAAGTTAAATTCATAGAAACAGAAAGCAGAAGGGTGGTTACCAAGGGACAGGGGAGGAGGAAATGAGGAGTTACTATTGACTGTGTATAGAGCTTCAGGTTTGCAAGATGAAGAGTTCTGGAGAAGGGTAGTGATGGTTGCACAATAATATGAATGTACTTAATACCACCAAACTGTACAATTAAAAATAGTTAACATGGCAAATTTTATGTTATATGTATTTTACAATTAAAAAATTGGAAAAACTTTTGCATTCTAATATTTCCAATGTTTATGCATTTAAAATACTGAGACAAGATTTTAGGAAACTTAGTATCACCCAGTTACAAATTCATGCCTTCTTTCTTTAATCCCAACTGGTTTCAACTATTACTTAGCTCAATCCTGGATTTATTGTCTTATTATCTCCATCGTTAGGACTTCTCAGAACTCTGTTCTCCACTCCTACTATGCTTTCTAAGTTCTAAGTCCCTGTTCTGGCATCAAGCTCTCAGCTCCCTGTTTACAGTTTCAGAGAAAGGAAAGATGATGTCAGTATCCCTAGTAGGATGATTCTGACAAGCCTGGAGGAGGCAGGGGAAAGCCCAACTATAGCTTTAGTTCTCACTTTCCAAAGTCAGAAAGATAAAATAACATAACAATCAGTCTTACTTCCCAGATTTATAATCAGTTCATCAATAAGACAAGAATGTTAATGTTAAAGATGTCCAGATTCTGAGATTGGAAACTTAAGTCTAAATTATATCACTCCATTAATCAAAAAGATTTAAAATAAAATTGTTTTAGGTATAGAAGAAATGTCAACTATATCTTGATTAGGCTTTTAACTTCATTGATCCAACAGGAATATTAAAGTAGTACAGTGATCATAAGTCTTATCTCCAAACTGGTTAGTTTTCTTGTGGATCAAGTCAGTAGTCTGACAGGGTGTTTATTAACGAATAGGCTCTGGCTATGTGGTGGGCTATTATTACTAATGTAGCTTAGTAGGTGTAGAGGGAACATGCTCTTAATTTAATTACTTCCGATCTCTGAATCTTAGTAGTAAACTTAAATGCATCTTTAATGGGAGCTTTATGAACACCTCATGACATGATCTGTTTCCAACACTGGATCTAAAGCCTAGGGAACATGACATGCTCTACTGCAAAATTACATAAGTGGCTTAAATTAGCATTTTCAAGTTGATTAGTCATGTGTTTCTCTAGATAACTTCAGAAATTAAGTGAATACCAGACTTAGGGAAAAATTCAAATCATCCTCTGAGTCCATCATCCTTTATTTTTCTGCTTTGCAATAAAATTTGGAGAAAAATAGTGGTGGTAGAGAGGATTTTCTTCTAAATTCATCTAGCAATTAGACATAAAGCAAGAAGCTAATAAACAAGGGTAGCTTGTCTTTTTTTTGTTTGTTTTTTTAACTTCTAGAGAAGTTTTAGAGTATAAAATCTCTATTAGAAGAGCTCACATCGGGCCGGCCCCGTGGCTTAGCGGTTAAGTGCGTGCGCTCTGCTGCTGGCGGCCCGGGTTCGGATCCCGGGCGCGCACCGACACACCGCTTCTCTGGCCATGCTGAGGCCGCATCCCACATACAGCAACTAGAAGAATGTGCAGCTATGACATACAACTATCTACTGGGGCTTTGGGGGGAAAAAATAAATAAATAAAATCTTTAAAAAAAAAAAAGAAGAGCTCACATAATAAGGAAAGGCTTCACCCTCATAAAGGTGCTTTTGAAAAGGTATAGCATATTTCATCATTTCCAAGAATATTATGCTTCATTAAGTGTTCACCTAGTGACAATGGCTCTTAAACCCTTAGTTTTAAGTTTTGGCTTCAAAATCAGTTTTGTGATTACAAAATATACTAAGTTGTTAAAAGTAAATGGGTTCCTCCTTGTGCAATGTTGGTGGGAATGTAAATTGGTGCAGCCACTATGGAAAACAGTATGGAGATTTCTCAAAACACTAAAAATAGAACTACCATATGATTCAGCAATCCCACTTCTGGGTATATATCCAAAAGAAATTAAATCAGAACCTCAAAGAGATATCTGCATGACCATGTTCATCGCAGCATTAGTCACAATAGCCAAGATATGGAAACAACCTAAGTGTCCATCAACAGATGAATGGATAAGGAAGATGTGATACACACACACACTGGAATATTTTTCAGCCTTAGAAAAGAAGGAAATCCTGCCATTTGTGACAACATGGATAAACGTGGAGGCTATTATGCTGAGTGAAATAAATCAGACAGAGAAAGACAAATACTATATGATCTCATTTATACGTGAAATCTAAAAAAGTCCAATTCATAGAAACAGACTGTAGAATGGTGGTTGC